GGATATTTACTAAGGTTATGTTGGCCTTAGGATATAAACAGAGTTAAGCAGATCACGCACTATTCTTCAAGCACTCCCAAGATAGGAAGCAAACTGTGCTCCTAGTATATGTTGATGATATTATTATAACAGATGATGATATTACGGAGAAACATTTTCTACAAGCACGGCTAGCCTCTGAGTTTGAAATTAAAGATCTTAGGAGATTGAAATATTTCTTAAGGATAGAGGTAGCTCATTCAAAGGAATGAATTTTTATCAGCCAGAGGAAATATGTCCTCGATCTTCTTAAATAAGCGGGAAAACTTAGGTGTAAACCCTCTAGTACTCCTATTGAGCAGAATCACAAGATGGGTTATGAAGAAGAGAGACCTCCAGTTGATAAAGGACAATATCAGTTGTTAGTTGGGAGACTAATATATTTGGCTCATACTAGACCAGGTAATGGCAAGAAGCTGTTATAATATGCTGTCAGTATTGTAAGTCAGTTCATGCATAATCCAAAAGAAAAACACATGCAGGTAGTGGAGAGAATTCTTCAATATCTTAAAGCCACTCCTAGTAAAGGACTTTTATTCCGGCGTAAAGGCAATCTCTCTTTAGAAGTTTATACCGATGCTGATTATGCTGGATCCGTAACTGATTGTCGATCTACCACTGGTTATTGTATGTTTCTTTGTAGTAACCTAGTTACATGGAGGAGTAAGAAGCAGGACGTGGTTGCCAGATCGAGTGCTCAGGCTGAATTTCGAGCTATGGCTCAAGGCGTTTGTGAGTTATTGTGGTTGAGAATTATACTTAGTGATCTTAAAATAAGATGTGAAGGACCTATGAAGCTGTTTTGTGATAATAAGTCAGTCATTTGTATAGCTCATAATTCAGTTCAACATGATCGGACTAAGCACATTGAGGTCGACCTCCATTTTATCAAAGAGAAACTTGATAACGGGTGGATCACCACTACAGGCTTGATAACGGGTTAATCACCACTCCATACATCCCTTCTGGACGTCAATTAGCTGATATTCTGACAAAGGGACTTCCTTCAGAAAGGTTTCAAGAGCTTACTAGCAAGCTAAGAATGATAAATATCTATTCCTCGGCTTAAGGGGGAGTGTTGTAAATAATTGTATTTGTTTATTTACTTATTTATTTTCATTTTAGAATCTTCTTTGGGCTTAGCCCATTAGGTTATTTTGTCTATTTAAATAGAGAGCAATTGTACAGATGTAATACACAATTTTTATCAATAAGATAATCTCTTTTTTTAAACTGTTATTATTTCAGAAAGGAGGAAACATCTCCCTAGAAGTTTACACTAATGCGGACTACACAGGATCTATAATTGATCGACATTCAACTTTCAGATATTGCACGTTTCTATGTGAGAACCTAGTGACATGGAGGAGTAAGAAGCAAAATGTAATTGTTCCGCCAAGTGCAAAGGCAAAGTTTTGGACTATAGCTCTAGGCATATGTGAACTATTATGGCTGAAGATTATTCTACATGAACTCACATTAAAGTATGAAGGACCTATGAAGCATAGTAGTTAAAAGCGGCACTAAAGCGGCGCTACCCGCACCGTTTGCGGGTTGCGGTGGTCGACCGCGAGAAACAGCTTCACACCGTTTCGAAAAGTAATCGCTTCTTTAGCGGCCGTAATAGCGGAGGAAATCGCGTTGTTTCGGCAAAAATCGTGGCTGAAATGGAGTGCTCTCTCTCTATTCTACGTTTTTAAATGGAGCGCTCTCTCTCTCTTCTGCGTTATAAAGATTTAGACGAGAAAGAAACCCACGTGAGTTGTATAATTTGTTTTGAATCTGATATTTATTATAATATTATTTCCCACGTGACTTTTATTTTATAAAATGGAGCGCTCTCACTCTCTTCTGAGTAATGGGCAGGACACTGAAAAGTGAATATATTTTTTATGAGTAAAGATATATAGTCAAAAACTGATTTATATTTTATTGGTAAAGAATTAAATCAAAAGATATTATGTTATTTGTGACCGACATATTTTTTTATCCTGTAAGATATATATATCAAATTAAGAGTCATTTACAATTACAATCACTTTGGAAAAAACAATATTATCTAGGATTCTAGGTCAACAGCGTCTCTAGTCTACCTTTATCTCTTGACTTATCTCTTATTCATCTGAACTGCTTTCTCTTTTGACTGGGAATCATCTCTTCCCTCTTCGTAGGTAACGTTATTTATTTTTATTTTAATTTGCTTTTTTTTCTACCGTCCTATTTTCTTTTTCTTTTCTAGGTTTTTCTGTGGATTTTTTTTTTACTTCTTCCCTTTTTTTGTGTTTTCTTTTTTACCTCTTCCTTTTTTTTTTCTTACCTTCTATATTTTTTTTTCTGGCCTCCTATTTTTTTTGTCATTAAAAATAAAAAGATCATTACTAGTATGTCGTCTAGTGATATACATTATATTGTAGATGACAAGGATGATTTGTGGTCCCAGACAGAAAAATAACGAAATTGAAATTAGCTTTTTTTCCTTCCTTTTCTAAAATGTGGTTCCGGGGACAGAAAAATATTGAAATTTATTTTATCTTTTTTTCTGATTTCTATTTTATTTTTTGTTTGCGTCTATAATAATAAATATAGCTAGTGATGGCATCCAACAACAGCACACAAGAATCTCCTTCTTGTGCTTTGGTTAAATCCCCCGGGTCCTTATCGAGATATAGCATGGCAATGGAATTCCTTGAAGGATATTAATAACAAAAGAAACGTGACATGTTATGTTGGGGTTTCATTTGCAAGGTATGGGACTTGGAGTCCCACATTGGTTGTATGAGCAACTAATGTGGGGTTTATAAGGCCTTGGGCACTCCCACCCTTTGAGCTAGCTTTTAGGATGGTGCATCCTAAGGTCTCATCAAATGTACCAGGGCTAAATTACACCAAATGGGGATAAAGGGAGATGTAGAGCCACCATGTAAGAAAAAAAACCCAGAAGTAAGAAATGCTTTGAAGGAAGCATATGAAAAGCTAGCTGATAAAAATGCTTCCCTAAATGAGCTACAAGAAGATGATGATGAGCTTGAAGAGGTGGAAGAAATCCATAACCTTAGAACTGGAAAAAAGGGAGTAACACCCAGTAGTTATTCCTCTGTTGTTGCTGCCAAGAAAGGCAAGACTGTGAAAGGTCCCATGGACCTACTTCTTTTGAAAAAACCAGAAAACAACATCAAGTTGGGGAAAAGGCAAACAAGTATCAATGATGCCTGTGATAGAGAAGCTAGAGCAAGAATAATTCAATATATTGAGAGGTTTTTAGTAACGAATGGAATACCTTTCAATGTTGTACGCTCTAGAAGTTTTAGGTTGATGGTTGAAGTAATACAGAACTATGGTCCTCATTTGAAGGTTCCATCTTATTATAATAAATGTAGAGTTACACTCCTTCAAAAGGAGTTAGAGTACACACAACAATTACTGAAGGAGCGTGAGATAGAGAGAGTAAACTATGGATGTTCTATTATGTCTGATGGATGGACAAATAAGATGGCTAGAACTTTGATCAATTTTTGGGTGAATTGTCCATTAGGAATTATGAATTGTTCCATCTTATTATATGAAGACTGGTGAGAAATTACATGAACTTCTGGACACTTTTGTGATGGAGATTGGTGAACAAAATGTTGTTCAAGTGGTGACCGACAACGGAAGCAATTATGTTTGGCTGGTAAGAGACAATAAACTCGTTCAATTGTTAATATTTCAATTTATTTGTGACTCATTTTCTTAATTAAGTTTATGCTTGTGATATTAGGGAAACTTTTACAAGCCAAGAGATGTCATTTGTTTTGGACTCCATATGCTGCATATTGCTTGGACTTGATGGTAGAAGACATTGGAAAGCTTGATCGAGTAGGTTTCATTTATAATCATTCATTGGCATTGAACACTATGCGGAAGTTCACAAGCAAAACAGAATTGGCGAGGCACGGAGTGACAAGGTTTGCCACCACATTCCTGACATTGCAAAGGTTGTATAAGTAGAAAAACAACCTCCGAAGGATGTTCACTTCTGATGAGTGGTAAAATCTAAGACTGCCAAAGACACTAAGGGGGAAAAAGGCAACTGATATAGTACTCAGTACATCTTTTTGGAATGACGTTTATTGTCGTAAGGCTATGGGGCCTCTTGTGGGTGTGCTGAGGATGGTTGATAATGAAAAAAAAGCCAGCAACGGATTACATTTATGAAGCAATGGATAAGGCCAAAGAAGCAATTCAAAATGCATTATCTTAACCCTCAATATTTTTATTCTAATCCAAAGCTTGATGAAGATTTAGAAGTGGTTAATGGTTATTTAAAATGCTTCGAGAGACTAACTGCCAATGGAGATGAGATGGACCAGGTTATGGATGAATTGGAACTATATAAGAAAGCTCAGGGTCTCTTTGGCATGGACTCGGCCAAAAGACAAAAGGATAAAAAGGGATGTTCTGACCAAAGAACTTCCCACCGATAGATTTGAAGTACTTACTAACAAATTGAGAATGATAAATATCTATTCCTCAACTTGAGGGGGAGTGTTGTAAATATAGAAAATATTTGTATTGGTTTGTTTCCTTTATTAGCCAGATTGTTTCATTTGAGTCAGATTGTATTCGAAGATTGGGTTTACTCCTTCAAGCCTATTAGCTTCTCTACAAAAAGGTACCCATTGTATAGGCTTTATTACACATTAAATTAATAATATTTTGTTCGTTCTTGTTAACTTTAACTATCAGAATCCGTACCCTATAGCTTATCCTTTTGTTTATTTTTCTAGAATCACTCAAGTCAGTACAGCTATTTCATAACCAATGATAGCAGGCACTTACTCTGGGATAACAAATCCTAGAACAGAAACATTCGTCATGTTATATACTTTTTTATTTCAGTCATAATTATTACAAATAGTGCTAAATTAAAAACATGCCAATCCATATCAATACAAAGGATATATGGAGAAATAAAAGAATACCTGTCATCCATCCTAGCTTGTGCCTCAACATAAGACAATGCTGCAGAAGATTTAATGACACTTTTTGTATATCTGCTGGAAATAATGTCCGCCTCAGGTGTCATTTCCTGAACATTTATAAATAGCTTAAGTGCATATCAATGTAGACAATAAAATGTACTTAAATATAAATTTCTTCAGTTGACATCCTTCTTTTGGAACATTCAAACTATTCTGTAAACATATTAACATTTTGATCATATCATTAAAGACTGATCCGGTTCTGAAAAATTAGAGCTGGGATTTGTAATTGAAAAGAAAAACAAGGAACAGGGCAAATGGGAGAGTTGTTTTATTGAATAACCAGACAAACAGTACAAGCTATGAAAACTTAACAAGGGAAGGTCCCTTCACTCTGGGAAAGATTTCTCTATCTAACCAATAAGCAAGAAACAATTTATTACATAGTAAGTGCCTAAACAAGAAACCATTTATCCCACACTCCTGCCAAAAACAAGCACCTAATGCATCACACCCTAACAGAATGTCCAGCTCTTAACAAACTTCCTATTTTTTTATTACATTCTTACGTGTATAAACCTTCCAACTTGTTCCATAGGCTGCTCCTTGTGCTCTTCCTTTGACTTTAACATTCGTATCAAAGACAGCGTAGATATAATGAACTTGGAAGAATAATAAATAGTCAATATAAATGCATATGCCCTTTCTGCATATTCCATACTCAGAAGATGGAGACCCCCACACCCTAGGTTGGTACCTGTGGACCAAGGCAGAAGCAATACTTTTTTTTCTCTAAAATGTTGATTGCTACTAGTTGGTCAACTAAATATGAACAGGATTCAACTTCGTGAACATATGTGGGCTGTACAGCGACAATAATATATATATATATATATATATATATATATATATAGAGAGAGAGAGAGGGAGGGAGAGAGATATATATAGGATCCTTTAACACCGGTGTTAAACTTTGAAATTTGACACCAAATTATAACCATTGATTTCCGTCAATCAACGGTTATCATTTATTGGGAATAAAAAATTAATTAATGAGTTTGATTGATGGAAATTACAACCGTTATTGGTGAAAATCAACTGTTAGGATTTGATGTCGAAATTCAAAATTTGACACCGGTGTCAAAGGATCATGTCCCATATATATATATATATATCAACATCTACATCACCTTTAACCCAAGTTAACTGGGGTCGGTGGTAGATGAACCCAATGATAGATAAGAAGAGATTAAAAAAATAAATAAAAAATATATATATATAATGTTCCGGGTTAACACAGCGAGCTAGACGGGCTTGTAAAAGTGAGATACTCGGAACCAGGAATAGGCGAGTAAGCATGTCCTTAACGACTGCGCGTACTGGAGTAGCAGTCAGTTGAGCCAGCCAGCACTTCCAGTAAGGGAGTTTTAAGTGGGCCTGCCACGATGTCACGATGGTAACCACCAATCCCATGACACAGGTAACCGTTCCAAGGCTACACCTATATATAGTCTAAGGGTTAAGATAAGAGCAGACATTAACTACACAGAGAGAATCCAGATTAATGTTCGTCCAGAACATTTGGCGCCGTCTGTGGGAATAGGTAAAACTAATCCTACGCATTTTCTTGAGTCATGGCAAGCAACAACCATGATGAGCAAGTAGAGGAGAATGAAGAAAACAAAAGGGAATAGGAGTCTTTCCGATCCAATGGAGGGAGCCAATCATTAGATACCATTGGAGAAGCTTTAATGCAGTTGATGGAGGAGATAAGGAACCGGCAACATCCAGAAAGACGAGGAAGAAGGCAATATTCAGAAGAAAGATTGAATATGCCACATGATGAGGAGAGATGGAGAGGTTCTATATCTCCCTTTCCTGATTACATTCCGTTATCACCTCCACCAGAGATTGAGAATAGGAGGACCGAATTTCGAAGGGGGCAAGGATCTCAGACATCCAGAAGTCTTTTAGAGAGGAGAAATTATCTGGGAGAAGGACGGGGAGTAAACCGGAGGGTAGAAGAAGTTTATGAAGCGAATGTCAGAGATGCAAGAAGAGGACATATACGTCAAGGTGAAGTGGAGGATCAACCTTGGACGGATGCTTGGGTAGATGAGCAACAACAGGAAGGTTGTCAGTATTACGCTCGCCATAGAGGGCAGGAGCGAAGCCAGAGACGTTATAGAGAAACTGATGAGAGGAGGAGGATCGATGGAAGAAGACAGTATAGTCGTTATAGAGAAGATTTCCTGCCAGAAGAGGAGGAATATTATTATGCACCCGGAACCCGGGTCCAGAGAGGAGATTGGCAATCTGTAGAAAATTATAGTCCACAGGGCTATGAAGGACAGATGATGAGACCAGAAGGCCCAAGCCGGAATGAGCAGACGAGAAGATTAACACAACGGATGCCACAGGAGATTCAAGAGCCTATTGCTGGTCAAGGTTTGTCAGGAACCCCTTTATCGTGGAGATTGAGGGCGGAGCCTATTCCGAGTTGGTTCAAACAACCAACTGATATGAAAGCTTATGATGGAAGCTCCGATCCGAAAGAGTTCGTAACAGTGTTTAGGGCAGCAATGTCATTATGCGGAGAATCAGATTCTTTGTTATGTCGGACATTTCCAGTCTTTTTAAGGAAGCAGGCGTTGGAATGGTATACCGGTTTGCCAGTCAATTCCATTGACAGTTGGGCTGATTTATCTCTTCGTTTCATACAGCAGTTTGCTCATTGTGGACCTCAACCAAAGACCACACACAATTTATGTGGAGTGAGACAGAAACCAGGAGAAAAAGTGAGAGACTATTATGAACGGTTCCAAGCAGAAGCTAGACAAGTGAAAGGGTTGGAGAATCAGACGTATTTGTTGTTATTTACCACCGGGTTACAACCTGGCAGGTTGGCGGATTCTTTGGCTAAAAAAGGACCGACTACAAAGGAAGAGTTGATAGAAAGGATTCGGAAGTACATCGATTTGGAAGAGTTCAGATCTTCTCAGAGGCAAATTGAACAAGGGTTTAGAAGGCCAGACAAGCCCGCTGGGAGAGGACAGTTTGACGAAAGGCGACCTCGCGTAGTAGGGGAAAGATTTAGAGAGGCGTATAAGAGAGATTTCACACCATTGAATACGTCCAGAGCCCAGATATTGAAGGAGGTAATGACTACAGAAATGCAGCATGTTCCACGGCCTCCGCCGATTCGGTCGAGTTATGCACAAGCAGATAAAACGAAATGGTGTGAATTTCATCGGGGTTATGGACATTACACGAATGATTGTTTTAATTTGCAGAATGTTATTGAAAGGTTGATTCAAAAAGGGAAACTGCAAAAATATGTAAGAAGAGAAGAACGGGGGTGTAAGGAAGATAAGCCCTCACGGCTAGACCGAAGTCGTAGCCCGTCTGGGGGAAGGAACAAGGAGCCTAACAGAAACCAAAAAGTTGCAAGACAACCATCTCTGAATAGAGTTCCAGTTGGGCATATTAATATAGCTGGGGGGCGAGCAAGAGGAGGAGAATCTGGGAATGCCCGGAAAAAGCACTTGAAAATGTGTATGGCCATTTCAGAGAAACCGCGTTTTAAAGAGCGCCAGAAGACAGGCAAGCAGGTAGTGTTTGAGGATTTAGACGATGAGATATTAGACCCGGAGCACGATGATCCCTTAGTGATTTCGGGGTTGTTGGCAAACTATCAAGTGGATAGGATGTTGGTAGATCCAGGAAGTTCAGTAGATATTATATTTTGGGATGCTTTCAGAAGAATGGATTTAGATTATGACCAGTTAGAGCCATGCGAAGCTGATTTATTAGCATTCTCAGGAGACAAGATTAAACCTTTGGGATACATTCCATTGAGGTTAACCTCGGGGACCGCTCCTACACACAAGACAGTCATTTTGTTGTTTGCGGTAGTGGATTTGAGTTCCGCGTATAATATTATCTTGGGCAGGCCATTCATGAAGAAATTTAAGATCTTTTTGTCAATTGATCAGTTGGCAATGAAATTTGTTGCTAAGGATGACAAAGTGGCAACGATAAAGGCGGATCAGGTAATGGCAAGAAGCTATTATAATATGAGTCTGAGAATTTCACATGAAAGTAATAAGGACCGAGCACTGATAGGAGATAAGGCAAAAGAGAAGACAGAAGCACAGGAAAAGAAAGAAGAGCAAGTAATGGTAGTCGGGATGGATCCCCGGGTAGAAAATAATGCGGAGAGGGTAGAACCCGTGGGAATCATGGAAGAGGTTCAGTTAGGAGCGGGTAAAGAGCAGGTTACAAAAATGGGTTCCGAGTTAGAACCTGATGTGAAGGCTAGCATGAAGCAATTATTGCAATTAAATGCTTATCTGTTCGCATGGAAACCTTCGGATATGCCCGGGATGGATCCTGCTTTATCTTGCCATCGATTAGCAATATTTCCGGGAGCGAAGCCGGTGGCCCAGAAGAAAAGGAGATTCTGTGCAGAAAGGAGGAAGGCGATTGAAGAAAAAACCAGAGAGTTGTTAGAAGCAGGGTTCATTAGAGAATTAGAATATGCCACATGGTTAGCCAATCCAGTGTTGATTAAGAAGCCGGATGGGAGATGGAGGATGTGTACGGATTACACAGATTTGAATAAGGTTTGTCCTAAAGACCCATTTCTGTTACCCAATATTGATCATCTGGTAGATAAGGCATCAGGGTACAAATTGTTGTCGTTTATGGACGCCTACTCCGGGTATAATCAGATTCCATTATGGAAAGAAGACCAAGAGAAGACAGCATTTGTGACAGAAAATGTTGTCTATTGTTATAACGTCATGCCCTTTGGCACAATATGCTCGAGTAAAGAATGCAGGGGCTAACCCGGATAAGTGTAGAGCAGTGATGGAAATGAAGAGTAT